CCTGTTAATAGCCAGGTTTACCTATAAAGTGGCCAATGATTGTGAATATTTCATTTAAACCAATTAGCATCATGTTTAATTAGGACTATAAGCCTCTAAAGAACGACAGAACAATTCATTTCTATATAGAACCTTTCACAATTTCAGATGCACCTCGAACCTCCTGGATCGTTTTTTAAAGGCATCCTATGCCTTTCACGGCCAGTCTGGTTCCGGGGGGGGGGGGGGGGTACATTTTCCTTTACATGCATATTTAGTGAGGGAAAGGTTAAGGAAAAGGAGCCACACTGACGGGGCAGGAGGTCGAGGTGGAGTTGGCATGTTATGTCGAACTTGCGGTGGGGGGGGCAGCTTCTCTTTCTGGCTGGGTCACGGGAGGTCGCTGTGGAATCACACTTCTGGCAAACAAGCACGGCCTCGCCCACAAATCTGCAAATGGCTCCCCTATGACTTGAACTACGTGTAATAAGCTCACGACAAGCTGAACTTACAAACAACAATGAAAAGAAGAAAAAAACAGTTGACGCACTATCGATCGTGGTAAACTCTCATAAGGTGATGTCAGAGGTCACAGCAGTGAAGACAGTGGGGACCAAAGGAAAAGGGTTTCGGTTGGGGGGGGCACAGGGTGCTTCTAGGACTATTCACATTTCTCTGAGTGCTTTAAGACTTCAATGACACAGATTTCTTCCCTAAAAAAAAAACCCCAAAAGCGCCGCAGTACTCTGTTTTACATCCTCTTAAGGCAGTTCACACTGTTAAAGGTCATGGAGACCCTTTCTAAAAACATTTTGGTTCGTCCCTTAACCACAGCCTCATTTCTGTAGTTCACAGAACTTCCTGTGTGGCTATGATTACCATCCGTGCTCCGTCAGGTACAGCATACAGGCGATAAACACGCCGCAGACTTGCACGCTGTCTGTACCGCAAAAGAGAAACTGAGAATCCGGACTGTTGGATGCATCCGTGGTCTACCATCGAACAAAAGGCCATCCATCCGGTGCAGCCAATCAGGGAGGACGCCAGACATATGGGCGTGGCCTGAACCTGAGAGTTAGACTCAGTGATTGGAGCCCTGACACTTTTTCCTCCCTCTAAGAAATGCCATCAAATCAGCATCTGTTTATGTTTTTTCTAGATTGAGAGGCTGTTGTAAATGACTGAGACCCCCCCCCCCCAAAAAAAATAAAAAATTTAAATTGTGGGTTTCTTCACATTGGCTGTCAGCGCTCAAGGACATCCAGCATCGACCTGGGATTCACTGCGGCTCTCATGAAGCCCCCCCCCGCCCGCATTTCATCAATTTGACTAGCAGCACAAAATCCTTATATTGCAGCCATACGGAGGCACGACAGACGACCGCGAGTGTGACGCCCCTAACCCGTTTTAGGAACACCCCTGCTCTAATCAACACTTCCACCGGCCTGGGAACCAACTGTGCAGACACGCTCCCGGGGGGGGGGGAGCTTTGAAGTTAATTAAGCTGCTTTAAATACTGTGCAAATGATTAATATCAAAGCACGTCTGAAGACACGGCCCAGAAAACACAGCATCCCTGGACGTGTCCTAAGAGAGGGCAGCCAAAAGCGAATTGTAAGGCTACACTTTACCCGGAGTCACCAACATTCACAGGAATGAAAAAAAAAACAAAAAAAAAAATCAATCCAATGTTAGTGTCATTTTTCCCAGAATGCAGCAGGGCACCCACAGACATAACACCAAAATGTACCATGTTTCCACAAACAAAAGGTCACTTGTTATGAACAACAGCATGACTACACTCTGTGAATCTAACACCAAGCTCACTGCTTCAGTGCCTGGCAGAACAGTCATTTCAAGTCGAAAGCTGGCATTTTCCAGGAGGGCCAGAGCAGAGTAACATCACTAAGCCCAGTTTCTGAAGAGTTTCATACCAGCTCTACGTTCCAGTTTCATCTCGGAGATGGTTCTGTCAAGTTGGAGCTGAGCTTCTGCACTGGCCTTTGAAACATTCCAGACTTACTCTCCCCAAACCAACATATCAGTATACCATAAAACACACCGATGTTCAGTCAAGGGCAGGTCTGACCATGTTTTTTTAAGGTATCACACGCACAAAATCTTGACAGTATAGAGAGATTGGCAGTTCCTTGGCAGAATGAGGACAGGATCTGCTCTTAAGATGTCCTCAGCCAAGACGCACATGCATACACAAGCCTCCCCAGGAAAATAGGGGCGCAGTCCGAAACGTCTACCTGCCGCCACCCTGGGTCAGTCATGCAAATTAACGCCGGCTCATCTTCTATGACATTATCCATCTAATACCCCTCAACGGCTGATTAACAGAGGTCCGACGAGAATAATTCCAATTTATTGCTGAACTTCAGACGCAATAACGGCTTCGCCAACAGCTTGAGTAAATCACACAATTAAAACCATCTGAACATTGAGAATAAAACCTGGCCTCCGTCCAAGAAGACAGTCCCCGGTGGGATGCACGGTATCCGGTCTTGTCATTCAAAACCACTACTCTGGAAACGTAGCTGGCTTTGTAATGCCCCAGTCTGTGTCCTCTAACACCACTCCAGTTGCTTGCATGAACATGGGATTTAAAAAAATAATAAATCAGAAAATCGCTACTCACCTCGGTGTCCGGGGGAAATTTTCTCCTGTGCTGTGGTCCGTCAGACGTTAAGTCCAGTCCAAGGTCCTTCGAGGCTCCGGGATAAATGTGATAAATGGATTGCTTAATGCCTGCAAACACGTTATCTCTGCTTCATCTGTTTTCATTAGCGAGGGGCAGACTTAGAAGAGAACGGACTGCTGCTTTCAATATTAGACCGTACTTAGATCCGGGCCGACGCCAGCGCCTGGCATTTACATTAAAAACAATAAGAATCACAGCAACGACGTTATTACTGCTATTCATTGGAATATATAACGATGAAGTTTGTCGGTAAAAAGTACTAACCATTTCTTTCACCTTGTCCGGACCATCCTACAAATCTCCATGTTGGAAAGCGATTAAACGGGAACGACGAACGCAACTCATTCGGTGTATGGAAGACAGGAGAACTATTTCGTATTTGATGTAAGCTTTAATTTCAAATTCTGTTACACTGAGAATTGACAATCGGAACATAAAATAATTCCCAACAAAGAAAAAAAAACAACAAATACAAAAGAAAACAAAAAAGTACAAATGGTCTAATAGTAACCTGTTGTTGTCACAAACAACCCTGTACAGCGTTAATGATTAAGTAATAAAAAAGCATTTTTTTTACAGCACAAACCTTTTCACTTAGTGCCAAGTAAAGAACTAAGATACGCAAGCCTCGTGAGCGTAGTAAAAAAAAAAAAGAAAAGCTTAAGAATGCAGGCATATAACTAAATACAAACCAAATGTTAGTTTTAAGAAAAGTTTTTAAAAAGGAAAGAAAAACGTAAGTGCTAGGAGCTTGCAATACCATGCTTTTGCAGAAGTGCTAAACGGCAGCCACGCAATAACTTGAAGTCACTGTGCTGCTTACATTTAGGCAAATTAACTGGACTTAAGTGCTTAGAAACACCAGGCGACGGGCGAGACCCCGCCGCCCCATCGCGCCGGACGACTGCGCGAAACTGCAGTCTTACATTATATGCTTATACAGTATTCAAAAGGCAGATAGATAAATAACACGTCCCCCGGAGGACAGACCTTTTCTTCTCCGTTTCGATTAGTTTATGTCATTCTCAGTGATCGCAGGCGATGACCTTCCACCAAGTGGCACCAGAGGATAAAGGACAATGCGGACAGGCTGGGTGACGACGGACACCTCAGCACCGGCACAACATGTAGTTCATAGAGCAATCCAAACCCCCTTTCCCGTCCCGTACCACCCCAATCCCCGGTTTATGGCCCGAATTTCATTCGATCCTAAAGGAAAACGCCCATTTTATCGGCTTCTATTTGGTCTTCAAATCCCGTATTAACCCCACTTTACCCGATCAGCTTCATCTTGCATTGTAAAAAAATGGGAACTATCCCTTTTCAAACAATAAAAAATTGGCTTAACGACGATAGCGCTTTATAGTAATTGGTTAACAACCATCTGGAAATTCAAATCCTTTAGACTGCCTGCCAGACGTCTATCTGCAGACGTGGGATATACCTAATCTCCCATATTCTTTTCGATATACACATTTTTCCTTAATGGTAAATGTTTAAAAAGTGCAAGACTTTAAGCCCTGTGCAAAACTGCCTTTTAAAAATTTAGCCTGTGCATTTCTGCCGCAGGATGATTTTGACTTCCGTTTCGGTGCATTAACGACGAGAGGTTTCTGTACGTCTGCCGTGCATGTTTATATGTGTGCTGTACACGTTCGTACGCGTGTCGTACACGTTCGTACGTGTGGTTTGCATTGAGTTACATGGAGGGACCAAACGGGCAAGCTTTTTGATTCAGCACTGACAGTAAACATAGCGAAAATATATGGCATATTTCATAACGTTACATAATTATGCAAAAATAACTTCTCGTTACAGAGAACAGAAACCCTTTCGGCGAAGGCTAAGTGCTTTTTTTCCCCACTCAAATGACTACAAGAAGTGCATTCATGATACTGAAAGGAGGAAAATGAACGGCCATGAAAACGAACCCCCCCCCCCCCACCCCCACCGACATCTCATTGCACCATTCAGATTTGTTTCAAGGTTTGTACTGAAAGTTATCAGAAATGTATGCGAAATCAAAAATGCTAAAAATAAAAACAGATTACAAAAAAAAAAAACAAATCCACTGATATACTACCGTTTTTTATCTCAAATCTGAACGGAACTCTTCACATCTACCTCGGCGTCACTTCCACGTTTACAATAAAAAGCAATACATTCATTCAAGTCATTTTGGAACAAATATTACACAAAAAAAAAAATTACAAAAAAGCTGAAAAAAGCACCATTAAATCGGCACGGCCAGCGTGACAGGCCCATGACATTGCCCCCCCAACCCCATCGCCACCCCCCCCACCCACCCCATCACCAACCCCTGGGCCGTCACTTTGACAATAACGGTCATCTTGTAAAAGTGAGTGTGTAATGCAGAGTTCAAAGCCCGGTGACCAAATGAGGAACCAGTGAGGCTTGGACCTCTGGTTCTGGCCCACCTTGGGCCCAGGATGCCAGTGGTGTACATTGCAGGCCAGCTGAACTGAGACTGCCCTATGCGGGGAACCTCCCCAGCCCACCGCACTCAGGCCGGCACCAGACCGGAGGACAGGACACCTGCAGAACACCTGTGCGCCCAAGGGGCTCGTAACTAAAGGTAGCTAAACAGTAACAGTTTGACCGTTCTATAAAAACAACCGAAAGAAATGCTGTTGGGGGAATAGCTTACAAAAACTATGTACAATCAGACGAGTTAGTAAGTGCGTGGTTCGAAGCGTTGCCGTGGAAATGGACCCCGACACGGGCGGCTTCCATTGGGATCGTCGCCGGAGTGTGACAGATACTCTCCAGATAATTTCATATCAAACCCATAATGACACCGAAACCATGAGAACACGTATGCAAGCATGCGTCCTAATGCTTTGCAAGAGACAACAACACACAAGAACGTAGCATCTGCAAGTCCCCTTACTTTTCTCTGTCGTCGAATGATATGTTCAAGCAAAGTAATTAAACCGATATAACAGATAATGAAAGCAGCTTCGATATAAATGCATTAAGCACATACAGCCTTTTTTGTTAATAAAATTCTTCTTTTCCTACCACAACTACTTTTCTATCCAGGTCGGTACGCTAACGCGAGCGGGACGATCCAGTCGCAGTGGAGCTGCGCGCCACTGTCCGAGGGAATGAAAGAGGAAGAGGAGGCTGGCGGAGAGGAAGAGGAGGCTGGCGGAGAGGAAGAGAAGGGAGAGGACCAGAAGGGAGAGAAGGAAAGGAGTGAGAAGGTGAGGATGCGAGAGGAGGACGGCTCACACAGTCTTGGCTCTCTCCGTCAGACCCAGGTAGGCCAGGAAGGAGTGCTTGAGAGACGCTGGTGACAGGGGAGACGAACGCGGGGAGCAGGACGAGGACGGCCGCTGTTTCGAGAAGAGTGGCAAGGGGCAGACGAACGTGTCGCGTCTCCCGAGTTGACCGGAGGCAAAGAGGGTGGTGAGGGGGACGAGGTGGGCTAGGTCGCAGTTCCTGTACTTCTCGTAACGTGAAGAAAATGCGGAGGCCGAGGAAGAGGATGAGGAGCCGTTGGCTGAGAGGTAGCATGGGGACAGGGCGCCGGACTGCTGCTTGCCCGTGATGGACAGCGCCACGGACTGCAAGGCGTGGGAGGCCGCCATGCTGAGGGGGGGCCCGTCTCCTACCAGGTCCCCCTCGGGGTTGGCGTCGACGCCGTGGTGCTTCTTGACGTGACGGCTGAAGACGAACGGGTGCGTGGTGGCGAAGGCGCACTCGGTGCAGCGGAACGTCTGGCGCGGCGCGTGCTTGAGCTTCTTGTGCAAGTTGAGGTTGTCCTTGCGCTTGCAGCTGTAGCTGCAGCGGTCGCAGAGGAAGGGCCGCTCGCCCGTGTGCACGCGTACGTGCTCGATGAGCTTGTTGGCCGTCTTGGACAGGTAGCCGCACTGCTCACACCGGTAGTGGTTGCCGAGCCGGTGCTCGCGCACGTGCACCTCCAGCTCCAGCTGGCTGCCCTTGACTGTCTGGCAGATGCGGCACTTGTGCTCCATCTTGTAGTGCGTCTTCAGGTGGCACTCCATGGCGGCTGGTCGGCCAGTGGAGTACGTGCAGAAGGGGCACCTGCAAGGGGGCGGGGACAGAGGTCCGGGGAAGGGGCGGAGGCGGGGTTAGACCCGGGATAGGATAGGAGCGAGCAGCACACGGACACACACGAACACACGGCCGCACACCCTAACGTGGGGAGGGGGGAGTGAGGGGGTTGGGGGAGACCCGTGGCTTGTGGGTAAAAGGCAGTGCGTCCCCCGCACTGGCGTCGCCTCCGCTGCGGAGGGCGCTGGACGGGGGACCGCGTGTAGGTAAATAAATAAACGGGTGGCACTTACATTTAAATAGCACCTTTCATCTGCTCTGGACCCCAAAGCGCTTCACAAACCCTGCAGAACAGAATCACCTCAGAAACGGCAG